AATATTCCAAAGTAAATATTCATTTTTTTTCCTGCAGTTTTTGGCCGGGGCTGGGTTTGAACCTGCCACCTCCGGCATGTGAGGCCGGCGCCCTACTCCTTTGAGCCACAGGCGCCGCCGAAAAGGGAATATTCTTAACTACTACATCCTATGTTATGTCTGATCTTATACTTTTCACTTTTGTAACAGAAAGTAATCTCTTAACTCTACTGTTTTTTCCTCTACTGCTTATTTATAGGTTAAATTGATGGATGGGAATGGAGACTGGGGAACTTCTTTCAAATAAATATATAAGTTTTAAATGTTTCTTGAAAGGGGCACTTTTGTTTCTAAGTTATAGTGGAACCTACAGTATTAAATCTCCTTAGTGACCTTCAGTGTTTTTACAAAATGTTTATAAGTCATGTGAAGCCTTAAAGTACTGATCATTCTGTGTTTTCAGTTTAAGAAATTGGCAATTTGAGTAAATCAATTATAAATCATTTTTTTGAGACATCCAGGGAAAATTGAACATAGATTAGATAAGATTAAAGAATTAATATTAGTAACATTGGAGGCAATAATGATATATTGTTATTTTATCTAAATGTATTATCTCTTAGAGATACATACTGAAAAATTTACAGGTGAAATGATACATTATCTGGAATTTGTTGTTAAAATACTTCATGGGAGGGCAGCACCTGTGGCTTAGTGAGTAGGGCACTGGCCCCATATACTGAGGGTGGCAGGTTTGAACCCAGCCCCAGCCAAACTGCAACAAAAAATAGCCGAGTGCTGTGGCGGGCACCTGTAGTCTCAGCTACTTCAGAGACTGAGGCAAGAGAATCACCTAAGCCCAAGAAATGGAGGTTGCTGTGAGCTGTGATGCCACTGAACTTTACCAAGGGTGATATAGTGAGACTCTATCTCTCTAAAAGAAAAGAAAAAAAAAACTTCATGGGAGAAGTAAAAGCATGGATAGCAGGGAATAGGTGAAATAACAATGGCAAAATATCGGTCAATCTTGAAACTGGAAAATTTTTGAAGCAACTGTTCTACTTTCCTATATGTTCAGTTTTATAACAACAGTGTAGAATTTTTTTAACAGTTGGAAAATTGTTAGTAACTTGTTAATTTTCTTTTTTTTTTGGAGATGGAGCCTCAAGCTATCCCCCTGGGTAGAGTGCCATGGCATCAAGCTCACAGCAACCTCCAACTCCTGGGCTCAAGCGAGTCTCCTGCCTCAGCCTCCCAAGTAGCTGGGACTACAGGCGCC